TCCTAGAAGCATTGTGAGGATAAAGTAATAGGGTGTGAAAGTTATAGCCCCAAGTAAGAGTCCAGTATGTGAGCTGTTATTATGTCAATACTGAAGATGGGTTAGGTCCTGCATCCACGGCCTCCCCCGTAATTCCAAGAAGAAAAAGAGACAGAGCAACTTCATCCTTGTAGAAGACACCCACCTGGGTAAGAATGGAAAAGCAATTAAGTGGGAAAGAAGTAGAACATGTGTCTGCATGCATGTGCCTGTGCCCATGTGAGCCTTTGGAGCTGTCTGCCCACCCACTCCCCAAGCAGGTATCTGTGCTTGCTAATGCCTCCTCTTGCACCTCTGGCAGTGAGAAGATGATCACCATGAGAACTCCTTTGTAGTGATCTTCTCTTAAACTGTTTTAGAGAAAGGAATACCCAAGTTATGAAAAATTATCCCAGTAAAAACTTCTATAATGAAATAACGGCTAACTCTGCTCAGAGCCCTACCCTTAGGAAAGCCCTTCTCTCAATCTCTATAGCCTGTCAGGTTGGAAACAGTCCATTCTTGCTTCCTCTTAGTCAGAGCACCCAGTGACACCTACCCCTCCAAAGTCTGGCCTTCTGGGCTGCAAGGGGAGTGGCTGCTTCCTTGACTCCCACATGCATAGAGCTCTTCAGCTGCACTGGGTCCCAGACGGAGGACGGACAACAGAGTTCAGGCTTGGAGACATCCACGAGCTAAAGGATTCTCTTTCAGTGACAGAGGCAGGCAGGAGTGGGTGGAGAGAACATGACCTGGAAGTCTAGAGTCCTTAGTCTGGTTCTAGCTTTTTCACAGACTTGCCATGTGAGCCTGAACAAGTCTCTTCCAGTCTCTGGGCTGCAGCTTCTTATCTGTCAACTCAAACTCACTGCCGTTGAGTCGGATGTGACTCATAGAGACCCCTCTTTGGGTTTCTGAGGCAGTATCACTACGGAAGTAGATTGCCCAATCTTCCTTCTGAGGAGCAGCTGGTGGGTGTGAACCACCAGCCTTCTGGTTAGCAGTCAAATGCCTTAGGCACTATGCCACCAGCGCTCCCCTTATATGTCAAACAAGGGCCTTAATAGAACATCTGCAAAGACCTTACCAGCTTTCTGGTCCTAGAGTTGTAGAAGAAAGGAAGGAAAAAAGAAGGATGGGAGGATTGACTCAGCAAAACTGTAAAATTATAAAGGCCAGTTTGTTTTCGGTGGCACGGCCTGATTTAATGAGGCCCCTCTCAGGCCCTGGCCCCTAGGACTAGTACTGTTCTTTTTCTTGGGGTTGTTCTCAGTGTAGGAGCTGCCATCACTTAAATGTGAATGAACACCTGTCATTCTGTTCCTTCTTCCACGGATCTTTGCACACAGTAAACCTATCTTTTAGGGAAATTGTGAGCCGAGTTCCAGGCTTCAGTGACTGAGGAAGAGGAAAGGTTGGGCAGAAGGAATCCACGGAGACTACTCTGTACTCTAAAATCTGTCCAGGAGAGAGGGCCACACTGGAGCTGGTTTTACAGGATGATGTAGAATTAATCTATGGATCTCAAGTTACTATTTCCAGTGAGAACAGAATATGCTTTGTAGCCAAGGAAAGGAGGCACCCAAGTATCCTGTGTGCTCTAGCCTGGGACATGAGAGCAGTGTGGTCTCCACCTCTCCCAGCAGGAGACCCTGGAGTCAGTGAGGAGGCAGAGAATCACAGCAGGGCCTGATCAATGACACCCTGTAGCTGTAGCAGGATAGGAGGTTTTCTCTTCTCCCACACCAGCACCACTCATTTGGGAGAAGCTATGACCCAGGAGACCACATGGAAGGATCTCAAGATGGGTCCCTGGTTAGCTCAGGAGAAGTGAAGCTCGTAAGTGGTGATGTCCACACCCATTTGGGATTTCAATGGTGCAGTGAACAAAAGCAAGGGAGATGGAGCCAGGCAGACCTGGGCAATGACTTTACCTCTGTCTAAGCCTCCGTTTCCTCAGGGATTATATGAATTTGATGCTACCTACCTCACAACAAAGGAGCTCTGGTAGCATAGTGCCTAAGGCGCTTGACTGCTAACCAGAAGGCTGGCGGTTCAAATCCACCAGCCACTCCTCGGAAGGAAGGTTGGGCAATCCTGCTTCCGTAGTGATACTGCCTCAGAAACCCAAGGAGGGGTCGCTATGAGTCAGGGCCGATTCGACAGCACATAACAACAACAACAACAACCTCACAACATTGCTGTAAAAGGCCAAATAGGCTAATGCCTAAGGGGTTTTGCACATGGTGGGCACCTGTTCTTGATGTGGTAGGAGAAAGAACTGCCAGCTCCTTTTCCCCTTCTCAGGACAGAAGACCATCTCCTGCCCCCTGTCCCTTTAATGGTCTCAACAGACAGGTTTTTCTGGGCAAGAAGGGGTGTTTCTGCCCTCAAAGCAGAGGGTTAAAAGTCAGGCCTAGGATTCCTGCCCAGCTGCCCCCTTGAATTATTGATTATGCTTGCTCCTGGTCAAGGCGACTCCTCAACACCCAAACATATACCATGCAGAATCTGTCCCTCATTTCCTGGACTGCACACCCAGATACACAGACATCACCTTTAGACAAACCATCCAGATCACACATAGCACTCTTTGCAAACCTCATCCTCACAGCACACACGCATGCATACACACACACACCAAGCACATGTCAAAATACACAAAGAAATCATCAGATGACACAGACAAGGAGATACTTAGGTTTCTGTTGCATACCCAAACACATCCAGGTACTACAAACAGGAAAGGCACACTGTCCATACATGCGATCCCCCACACAAAGATCCATACACAATGATAGATATCATAGTAAACACACATTGAGCACTTACTATGTACCAGGTAAGCCTTCTACATAGAATACTCACTGCCATTGAGTTGATTCTGACTCATAGTGACCTTTCCAAGGCAGTAATCTTTACAGAAGTAGATTACCCTGTCTTCCTTCCTTGGAGTGGCTGGTGGGTTTGAACCACCAACCTTCTGGTTAGCAGTCAAATGCCTTAGGCACTGCATCACCAGAGCTTTTTACATAGAATAATTTATTTCTTATAATAGTAGAGGTAGCTACTATTTTTATCCATTCGCTTTATAAAGGAAGAAATTGAGGGGCAGAGAAGTGAAATAAGATGCTTGAGTTCACACTAGTGGCCTGGCTCAGACACACGTGCACAAATATCTTCCCCTTGCTCCTCTCTCACATTTATATACATAAACATTCATTCCAACGCAGCATTCTCTCCACCCCCACAGGCTGGGCACACATTCAGGGTGAGCGCTGCTTGGGGAGTTAGTGATCAAAGATGCAAAAAAAAAAAAAAAAAAAAAGAGCTGTTGGCAGGAGCGGTTGGTAAATTGTGACAAAGACCTGTAGAGGTGAGGAAAGTAGATGTTCCAAAGATGGAAGCAGTGGTCGACATCTCAGGCGGGTGTGAAGCGCCAGGCGGGCGATAAGTGCTCACTGGCTGGATGCTGGGCGGTGGGCCATCATTGAATACAGCTTTTTAGTGTGCACTGAGGACCTCGCCCAGGCTCTCAGCAAAGCCTCTCCCTGCGCTCTTGGCTGAGCCCATTTCCAGGCTGGCAGCCCACAGCGGAGAGACCAACCAACCACGGGGTTTTAGAAGAGCCGCCACCCACTCAGGCTGCCCGCGGAGACTTAGGCCCCGGGTCTGAGGTTCCATTTATCCCCAGGCACGCCGCATCAGTTCTTGGTACGCCTTTCAATGGGAAAAATGACAGCCACCGTGGTTGGATAAATGTTATTATAATTCATGTGCCCATCTTTGAGCCCTTTCAAACGAAACCCACAGTGATTTCTTTGATAGAAAGAATTGCCTGTACCCTGATCAGAAGTCGCGGGTTTTTTAAGGACTGACAAGCCGCTGCAAAGATAGTAAATTAACCTGCACGCCACATTTGTTTCTGATTATTTGCGTTACAGTTGGTTTGTGAAATGAAACAGAAGAGTTTGTAGGAAAAAAAAAAAAAGAAAAAAGAAAAAAACGTTTATCCCGGATGTGGGATACACGTTCGACCCCAAAAGTGTTCCTAGAAGAAGCTACGTTATTCAAGTCGGGGGAGTCCGTGTCAATTTTTTTTTTTTTTTAAAGCAAGTCAAGGACCGGATCAGGATACATTCCAGAGAGTGTCTTCAGATTCTGCGTTCTGGCGCTAGCCCCCTGATACTCCCACTCGAGGAAGTTTTCCAGAGTCGGTAGAGTGAAGTCTAAAAAGTCTAAAAAGAGTTGACCAAAATCCAGGTGATCACTCCCTAGTCTTTCCCTCTAGCTTGGACCCTGAGAACAAAGGCGCACGAAAGGAAAGGTGACCAGCTGGACAGTGATGGTCACATCCAAACCGAACGCCTCTCCTCTAGCTTCTTCGTCCCAAGAGAGTAGATTTTAAGTTTTAAAAAACGTAAATGGAGAAAGCTTTTAAAGGCGACTCCCTTACCCCACCCCAAGTATCCTTCACCCCGCTCATAAGCGCTTGGGGAGCCCTCCCCGCAAGTCCAAGAGGGAGCTCAGAGCTGCGGCTGCCGCGGAGCCAGTTGGCTGTGACGCAAGATCCAACTGGGATTGCCTGACTCCCGGCGGGTGAGAGGATCTTGTAGATTTCGGGGGAGGGGGCTGCGCTCCATTGTTCACTCCGGGCCAATCAGGATTTGTCCACTTTCTCCCAGCCAATCCTCCTTCACCCCCGTCTTCTACCCAATCCACCCCGCCCATCAGCTCTCAGGTCCCTATCACCTCCCCCGCATCCCCAGCGGTTCTGGGGAAGCTTCTGACGCCACAGGTCCCGCCCCTAGCTCCGGCCCGGGGCGAGTGCGTGCTGACGTCATGTTGCGTGCGGGCCGGTGCGGAATCGCTCCTTCAACTCCGCCGGGCAGGAGGAGTTAGTTAGCAAAGAGCCGAGGCTGGGCGCGCGACCCTGGTCCTTCTGCCCCTGGCCGCACACTTTACGCACATCTCTTTTCTGCATGGTGGATATTATTTTTCATTATCCTTTTCTGGGTGCTATGGGGGATCATTCCAAGAGTAAGTCTTTCTCTCTGTGTGTGGGTGTGTATGCGTGTGCTTAATGTGCAGTATTTCTAATGTAGAAGGATGCTTAACGGATTCTACAAGTGGCTTCTATTTAACAGGACACTTTGGGAGAGAAAAAATAAAACGAGTGCATTTCTCCTGCAGGACTGCTTATTCTTTGGGATTCTGTTGTTTCATTTCGTTATTAAACATTATTTCTCAAGTCGATTAGGTTGACCTCAGGCTGTGAAATCTGCTTCTGTTTTGCGCTAAGGCAACTAGGTTTCATTTAGGGATGTGGGTTGTGTGTGTGTGTGTGTGTGTGTGTGTAAGTCTTTCAAATAAAGGAAGATTTTTCCAGTTTGAATTGGGATATTGAAAAAATGTCAGAGAGGACGAGGGAGACTCCGCTGAAAGCCAATGTGTGTGTACCGAGATACACTGGAGTCTGAGAGAGGGAGTGTGAGGGCGGAAATGCCGGGACGTCGTCTTTCTGTATTGATGCTGAGGCGTCCGCAGTGCCTCAGTATCTACTCTTTCTTCTCACCTGTATGTTAGCATTTAGTTACAAGATAGATCGATAAAACGACTATGCGTCCCAGTGAACGTATTAACGAATATATTTCTGGGGAGGGGAAGAGGCAAAAAAGCCCTCACAAATTCAGCAGATTTTAGTTTTTTGTTTCCAATTGTCTGGACTTCTAGAAAGCCAGTCTCCTTACTTTTCCTTGTGCTGGCTTTTTTTGAAAGAGAGAGCGAGAGAACGAGCGGGTTGGGTTGGGGCTGGAGTGGCCGAGGCCGGCTGGGGTCCGGGCAGCCAGGCCTGACGCGGGCCCCGCGCCCTTCCCCGGCAGAGAAGCCCGGGACCGCCATGTGCGTGGGCTGCGGGAGTCAGATCCACGACCAGTTTATCCTGCGGGTGTCGCCCGACCTCGAGTGGCACGCCGCCTGCCTCAAGTGCGCCGAGTGCAGCCAGTACCTGGACGAGACGTGCACGTGCTTCGTGAGAGACGGGAAGACCTACTGCAAGCGGGACTACGTCAGGTGAGGCCCGCGGGAACCTCTGCTCCGCCACCGTCCGCTGGGGCTGGGGCTCCGGGATGGCGGCCCTCCTGCGCGCCCCACCCCCCACTGCGCCTCCGGGCCAAGGAACCCCCACGCGAGGGGTCCCTGCAGCCTCCCGGTGCGCCACAAAGCGCCCTGAGCACGCGTGCCCCGAGCCAGTGAGCAGCCCTGGAGACCAGGGCGTCCGCAGGCCGTCGGCTGGGCCGCCTCCCCGAGCTCACGCCACCCCTGCCTTGGGTCTGCAGGCTGTTCGGCATCAAGTGCGCTAAGTGCCAGGTGGGCTTCAGCAGCAGCGACTTGGTGATGCGGGCGCGGGACAGCGTGTACCACATCGAGTGCTTCCGCTGCTCAGTGTGCAGCCGCCAGCTGCTGCCTGGCGACGAGTTCTCGCTGCGGGAGCACGAGCTACTCTGCCGCGCCGATCACGGCCTCCTGCTTGAGCGCACCGCGGCGGGCAGCCCGCGCAGCCCCGGCCCGCTCCCCGGCGCCCGAGGCCTGCATTTGCCAGGTAAGCCGCGCGCGCCTGACCCTCGGTCGCTTGCGCTGGTGTGAGTACAGTGAGAGGGGTGTGTATAAGCAGATAGATAGATGCTGAACGGTGGCTTATGCTCCTGATTTGTCTTACTTGTATGTGGTTCCGTTTGCCGGGATTCTGTGTTTTCCGGTGGAAACGCAGAACTGGTGCTAGGAACACCGGTGTGTGTGTTCGTGTGTACCGGGAGAAATTATGTGTGGGTCACCATAAGCCGGGATTGTTTGTATATGAATATGTAAGTATGAGGAATTGTGTTCTCCATTAACAGGAATACATGGAACAGGGCGCTGGGAGCAGGAGGGTGTCTGACAACAGGCAGTCTTAAGTAGTGCCTGTCTGAGGGACTTGCCTTCGGAATTTCTTCCAGAAATGTGTGTTATTGTCAGAGAGGAAAGATAAGCTTGCCCTGGGCGATGTGTGTAAGCCATACAGCTCCCAACCTGGGCCTGGGCTCAGCTGGCCAGGAGCTCCCCTCCCCACCACCAAAGATGGCTTTGAAGCCCACCCACTTGACAAAGAGGGGCCGTCTGTGTTTGTTTTTTAAGGCCCTCTTTGATGGATAATTTAGCCAAGTGCTTCTCGGTGGAGAAAGAGTATAAAGGGATCAGATAAAAACTCACAAGGTCCTAATCTGGAGCTCTCAGGGATGGGGTCCAGTGTGTGGTTAAGCAGGCAGGGTAGTGAGAAACAGCCACACCTTGGGCCCAGGCAGGGGCAGCTTCCAGGCCTTAAGCCATGTCTAGACCAGGCTGAGCCTCCAGATGCTGTGGGCTTTGCAGCACTCCTCCTTTCTCTGGACCTCCGTTTTCTCCTCTATAGAATGAGGAAATTGGGGTGGGTGGGCTATTTGTAAATATTTATCCAGATCTAGAAATGCCTGGAAGGTCCCTAAATCGAAACAGTGCCAGATAAATATGTGAGTGTGTAGATGCAGTCCGCTTGGAATGTATTTGTGAAGCTGGATGAAGCTAGAATTGAGTGCATCCCTTTTTCCGATCTCGGAGGGGCTTCTCTGAGGGGCTGCTTGTTTGTTGTGGGTTGCAGGCTGCCAGACTCAGGCCCTGCCTCCCCGGGCCTGAGAGACCCAGAGGCCAAGCGAGGAGACCGCGAGCCGCAGCGCTCCGGCGGGAGGGTGGACGGCTGCGAGGCAGGGGAATCCGGAGCCTTGAGGCAGGGAACTCCGGGACCGAGGTCCGAGGGCTGGCAGGAAAAAACCGACCGGTCCTAGAAGCCCGGTGGTTACTCTGGCGGGCCGGGTGCGAGCGACCTCCGAACGAGGGGGAAGCCCCGGGAGCCGGAGATGCGCGGGTCAATCCGCCCCCCCCCAGCAGCGCCGCGGCCCCGGCGCCGTGTCGGGCCCGCATGCCCGCCTCCTTCCCCTTCCTCACACACTCTGACTTCTTCCGGAGGGCTTCACTAGTCTGCCGGGCATTAGCGGGCTCTCCCAGGGTGAGTGGAGGAGGCACACTCGCGGGCAGCCACTCCCGTCCCGCAGCGGCCTAGCGCGGAGCTCCTGGGCCGGGCTAACGCTGGGAGAGATAGCTGAGGGGCAGCCCGGCCGGCGAACAAGGGGAGGGGACGAAATGCACAGCTCTCTCGGGGTAAGGCGAACAGATGGAGAGGGAGACGAACAATAAAAAGAAATAAACGGAATAATAAGTTTTTTTCAAACAAAAAATGCACGAAACGAAATCGGCTCCCAGAGGGCACGGGTGGCCCCGGGGCGGGAAGCCGGGCTGGTAGGTGGCGGCCCTACCTCACTTTTGTCCTCCGGATCCTCGCAGACCCGGGGGCGGGCCGGCAATCCTCGCTGCGCCCGCACGTGCACAAGCAGACGGAGAAGACGACCCGCGTGCGCACAGTGCTCAACGAGAAGCAGCTGCACACACTGCGAACGTGCTACGCGGCCAACCCGCGGCCGGACGCGCTCATGAAGGAGCAGCTGGTTGAGATGACCGGTCTAAGCCCACGGGTCATTCGCGTCTGGTTCCAGAACAAGCGCTGCAAGGACAAGAAGAAATCCATTCTCATGAAGCAGCTGCAGCAGCAGCAGCACAACGACAAGACGGTGAGGGGCCGCTCCATCCGAAGAGCCGGACGGGTGGGACCTAGGGTTCGCCCGCTGAGTCTGCTTGCTCAGGAGATCCAGGGGGAACTAAAACAAAACAAAACAAAACACTGCAGTCGCAGTCGAGTCAGATCCGACTCAAAGCGACCCCTCCTTGGGTTTCTGAGGCGGTATATACTACAGAAGTAGATTGCCCAATCTTCTTTCCCAGGAGTGGCTGGTGGGTCTGAACCGCCAGACTTCTGGTTAGCAGTCAAACGCGTTAGGCTCTATGCCACCAGAGCTCCAAATCCTGTGTGTTTGTGCCTTAAAAGTAAGGCTTGCTTTGGGGTTTAAGGTCCTGAATTACTGTATCTGAGATCAAGTCTTCTCTCTGGACCCCCGACAGCCAGAGTTAGGGGGGTCAGGGGCCCAGAGAAGAACCGAAGCCAGCTCCCTTGGCCTGGCTCAGTTTGAACCCTTTTCTTCTGCAACCTGGAGAGGGATGGGGGTACAGGCCTTGCCTTTCCTTCTCTTGTGGTTGGCTCCTGGTACTAAGGCTTGGCAACAGTGGCTGATGCTGAGACCCAGGAGTATCCCACCCGAGTGCATGCTCTAAATCATGCGACTTTGTCTCGGGTCTCAGTCTCCATTGTGGTGGGTAAAGCAAGATCTAACTCCAGCGCCTCCCTCCTTGCTCTGCAGAGCCTCCAGGGACTGACTGGGACGCCCCTGGTGGCTGGCAGCCCCATTCACCACGAGAGCGCGGTGCAGGGCAGCGCAGTCGAGGTGCAGACATACCAGCCCCCTTGGAAAGCGCTCAGCGAGTTCGCCCTCCAGAGTGACCTGGACCAACCCGCCTTCCAGCAGCTGGTGAGGCCCTGCCCTGCTTGCTCCGGCTTCAGGACTCCCAAAGACCCAGCGGGAGGGGTGGGGGTGAGATAACCCTACGCATTGGGGATGTCGCCGAGGCGGGGAGGAGGGGGCTGAGATGAGCAGAGACTGGCGGAGAGCCCTTGGCAACGGGGTGCGAGTGGGGAAAGAGAGTGAGCGCAAAAGCATCCTAGCCCACAACTCGCCCTAAACCTGAACCGGGCCTCTCATTCAAGTGTGCGCAGGAGAGGTGGTAGGGATTAACCAGCCTTCGTCCCAGGCCTGAACCCCGAATGTGCGCCTGGCATCTGGCCGCCTTCCCAGCCGGGCTTGTTCTCAAGTGGTGGCTGGTCCCCAAGGGACACCCCACCCCCTCAGAGCTTGAGGCCTCAGAGCACCAGCTCGGGCAGGTCTTCACTCGCTCCTCCTTGGTGCCTCCGTCACCCCAGGTCTCCTTCTCCGAGTCCGGCTCCCTAGGCAACTCCTCCGGCAGCGACGTGACTTCCCTGTCCTCGCAGCTCCCCGACACCCCCAACAGCATGGTGCCGAGTCCTGTGGAGACGTGAGGGGGACCCCTCCCCAGCCGGCGGACCTCGCATGCTCCCTGCATGAGACTCACCCATGCTCAGGCCATTCCAGCTCCGAAAACTCTCTTGCTTTTTAAATTCTTATTATTGTTATTTAAAGAGAGGATCGAAAGAAACCGCCAGAACTGCTCTAAGCGCCAGGATGCCACCTGCTTTCACCAGACTGGAGACCCCAGCTCCGAAGACTTATTTTTTCAGAACCAGATTTTGGGATATACTAGGGTTATTAGCTCTGCCCTCGCCTCCCCTGCTCCATGTGGCCGCTGCCGCTCTGTTTCTGCGCGTCTCCCGCCCATCTACCCATCCTGAGCGTGGAGAACACTCAGGGCGCTTCCTGAGCCGCGCCAGCTCGGAGCTCGCTCACTGGGGCTTCTTCCCCAAACCTGTCCCGCACTCCCAGATGGCTCCGCCAGGGCCTTAGAAGGGAAAAGGAAGGGGAAAAAACCCCAAAGAACAGACACTCAAACCCCCTAAGCGCATGATTGCTTGTGGGGGGAGGGGAAGTAGAATCAAGACTTGCCTTTAAAATGTTTTAAATTATCATTCGACGGAGGACAGAGCGTGTGAGCCTTTGCCGAACAAACAAACGTAAGTTATTGTTATTTATTGTGAGAACAGCCAGTTCATAGTAGGATGAATATTTTGATCTTAATAAAAAATAATAATCCGATGTGATGCTGCTCCTGTGTACTATGGGTGCAGCAGGAGGGCTTGACAAACTTAAATTCGGGAGTTGGGCTTATTTGAACGAAAATAGGTCACCACCGGGTACAAGTCTGGGACTCCGCGCTGGACCCTGCTGCTGGAGCCCGCGCTTCGCGCGCCGCAGGTCCGCGTGTTTCCGCCGGGCAGGGGGCGGGCCCGGCGGGGATTGGGCGCTGCGCGGGGGCGGAGCCGGGTCTTTGCTCCCAGGCGGCCCGGCCGTGCGCTTGAGCCTCGAGCCCTCCGGCAGGCGGGGCGCGCTCCGCGGGTTCGCGCAGCGCTGTAGCAGCCAGCAGGGAGGGTGGGGCAAGCTCGTTTGAGCGGGAAATCCACAGCGCTCTGGTGGCAACCCCACGGCGGACTCCTGCCTGTGGTCGGGCTCGCGAGGGGTGAGTCTCATTCCTTCCCAGCTTCGCTTTAGCCCTACTTGCTGGGTTCTTGGGGCCAGTTTCCGCCTGCTGGTCCCCTTCGCGGCTCCAGGTCTGGGCCTCGGCTCATCGCCCCACTTTCGATCCGGAGTACTCGGGCCCTCCAAGCGCTTTTTTTTGCCGTCTGTCTGGAAGCCTGGATCCTCATCCGGTACCTTGCCAGCCCGCCACCCCAGACCTCGCTGTCGAGCAGTGAGGCTGGCCCGCGGGCCCAGGGCGAGCACGAGGGCAGGCCCTGGCCAGATCCGGCGGCCGTGACGGCTCGTCCTCCGCGTTGTCCCCAGAATGGATGCACGACGTGATCAATCTCGCTGCATTTATTAATTCCGCAGTCTAGACAGAGGAGAAGGCCGGGCGGCGGCTCCTTATCTGCATTTGGCATCACCTGCAAGCGATATGCCGAAGGAGCCACAACAAGCCCCCGCTAGGATCGCGGCTGCCGGGGAAAATAAGTCCACCCAGAACCAGTCTGGCGTGTCCTTGGTTTATTTTCTTTCCAGACCTGAAATGGAGGGGGCGGGGGATGGTCTGGGTGGGAGGGGGCTGGGAATGGCCCCTGGATATGCCGTGCCCAGGTCACTTGGTGTGACATTTCAAACCCCTGCGACTTGTTTTCTTGAAAACTGGCTTTAGTGATCGCAGGAAATAACCGAGAGATACTGAATCTGTCCAGCAGGCCCCTGGGCAAGCACAAAAAAAAAAAAAAAAAAGGAGGCTCAGGTTTTATTCTTCACAAATATTTAACCCTTTGGCAGTCTGGGACATTTCTTTTCCAAAAGCAGCCCTCACTTGGTGGGACTCCGGAAGCTAGCTGCCAGCCTACCCGCCTATCCACTACTCTTGAAGAATCTCTGACATTGAGTTTCCGTTTCCTTGTCTCCTGAGTTACAAGATCCACAAATGCATCCTTTGTCCAGGGTTTGTCTTGAAAGAGGGTAACGCCCTAATTGTGTAGGGATAGTTGCTAGCTTAGCTCAGGTAGTGGCAGGTGAGGAAAATATGTCTGAGGGTCAGCTGCCATCGCTAGAAAGTCCTGGGAATAGGTGCCTTCTGTTAGAAAGCTACAGGCTTTCCGCCGGTTTCCCAGCAGAGCTAATAGCAGGATTCTGTGCCCTTCTCCCCTTGAGAGATGGAAGGCTTGCTGACAATTACTGAAAGAAAATGGGAGGGAGTGGGAAAGTAGAGCCACGTTTAATATTTTACTTCCTGAAAGTCAAGGTGATGCTAGCAAATGTATTAAAGGGAACATTCCCCTTCTTCAGGATTTAGGAAATGGTGCTGCAAACTTAGAGATAAGGGAAGAGATATGCAGGGTTAATGAGGACCAGCTTTACCTCTCAAGTGCCCAGAAAGGTTTTAATAAGCAGGGCTGGGTTCTGTGAGGCTTCGTTCTCTTAACTTAGACCATTCCCTCCCAAACAGAAATACAGACATCCCCCCTTTACCTTCTGGTTGGCCATTGGATAAGAGGCTAAACTTCCAAAAAAATCTTCCTCTTGAGTTCTTTCAATTTACCCAGAGTATTGAGTCTTGTTGTTTTTCTTTTAAGAGAAATAATAAGTTCTTGAATAAATAATTTTATTAATGGTTGCTGGTAATTAGTTCTAAAATTTCTTTTTCTGTTGAGTACAGTGTTTTGATACTACGAATGTAAACAACTGCCCACCTAAATACAGTTTTATGTCTTCACTATCATTCATAGATCAAAAATCAAATTCCTGTTTTTGATATTTATGTGAGTGTGTCTGGTTTTGAATGATGGAAAATTACCCAGATTTAAGATGGTTATTGTGTATTAGGATGCCTGCATCTGCGTTACCATTTAAAACATCACAAATTTCTCTCTCCGGTTGGTCGTTTGTCTCTAGCCACGCAAAGGGGCACATTGTTTTCCATGTGAGTTTTTCAGGAAAGGGTTTGACCCTGAATTCTTATTACAAGGGTCCCTGGTGGAGTGTCAGACCCACGGTTGGTTAGTTACATTAATAAATATCAGTTTTACTGGTTCTCAGGTCATCTTTAAACATCTTCTTTAATACAGTAGGGATTTCCTTGTAAATTAAATTACCTGTAACAATTACAAGTGTAGTATTTTATGCTTACTGAACTTTCAAAGTGAGATCCCCAGTTGTGTAGTAAAAACTCAATTCAATAAAAAGAGGCCATAGGTGGAAAATGTGAGTTAGCTATTTAGCTAGATTCACTTTAGAATAAGATTTTCTCATAAGATTTAGGATAGCTCTATGTAATTAAGACAGGAAAGGGATTCCCAGAGATGGAAAAGTTTATAGCTATTATAGCGCAAGATTTAATACACATTGAAAGATTGTATACTTCTGGGAAGTTCAGAATTCAGAGTCCCTGTGCTGTATCCTCAACAAACTTTAATATTTAATGGATTGTGGACCAGTCTTTCAGTTTGAATATAGCATAGTTTAAAGCTCAGTTTTGTCGGAGCTGCAAATACTGGGTTAAATGATCATTGTCTAAGATTGTTGTTATGGATTGAATTATGTTCCCCCAAAATATGTGTTGTAAATCCTAACCTCTATGTCTGTGGTTATAATCCCATTCTGGAACGCGTTGTCTTTTTTTATGTTAATGAGGCAGGATTAGTGTAGGGTGTATTTCGAGTCAATCCCTTTTGAGATATCAAAGATTAAACAAGTGAACTAGGAAGCAGAGGTGGGGAAAGACAGATACCCAAGCCACGTGAAGACCAGCCTAGGAGTGGAAGCTCAGAAGAGACAAGGACCATCCTCCAGACTGACAGATTTCCTCTAGAGCTGACACCCCAAATTTGGACTTCTAGCCTATTAAACTGTGAGAAAATAAATTTCTGTCTGTTAAGGCCACCCACTTGTGGTATTTCTGTTATAGCAACACTAGAGAACTAAGACACTTGACTGCTAACCAGAAGCCTGGCAGTTCAAACCCACCAGCCATTCCTTGGAAGGAAGGTTGGGCAATCTACTTCCATGGTGATACCGCCTCACCTCGGAAACCCAAGGAGGGGTCGCTATGAGTTGGGTCCGATTTGATGGCACATAAAAACAACAAGAGATAACTAAGACAATTGTTCTCTAGATAATGTGAGATTCTGCCACACCTGCCTAAGGGAAGGCATAAACTGCCATACTTTAGTTAGCTGTGGTTTCCCATAAGAGTGTTCACCAAAGAGATCAAGAGAATTAGCTGAATAATAGCATGCTGGAGAGAGAGGAAACAATGAACAAGTAATTATTTACAGAGAAGTTCCCAATGGAGTTGTGATAAAAGCAGGAAATTCAGAAAGACTTTATTAAGCTGATGTAGACAAGAGTCCAAAAATCAGATGCACTGCCATCCAATCTATTCCGACTCCTAGTGACCCTGTAGGACAGAGTAGAACTGTCCCATATAGCATAGTGCCTAAGGCACTTGACTGCTAACCAGAAAGCTGGCGGTTCAAACCTACCAGCCACTCCTCGGAAGGAAGGTTGGGCACTCTACTTCCGTAGTGATCTGCCTCAGAAACCCAAGGAGGGGTCGCTATGAGTCAGGTCTGACTTGACGGCACATGACAAAAACAACAATAGTTTCCAAGGCTGTGGTCTTTCCAGGAGGAGACTACTACATCTTTCTCCCACAAAGTGGCTGGTGGATTTGAACCCTTGGCCTTTATTCAGCCATCTGGATGCAGAAAAGGGTTCCTTTTCCAGGGTAGAGTAGAGACTTTTAAATATGGATCTAATAGATTTAAAGGTAAACATTCTTGAAGACGGAGGAATTCAGTGAAATGATGAGGATTATATGCCCAATTACAGACTAGCACCCTGCTGGTGGAGGCTATGCATGGAGGATACAGAC